ATGCATTGCTATGCCATGTCATTCCATCTCAAACATACTGTTATAGCATGTCATTGCTTCTTAGCTCAGCTGTTGTTTTATTGTTGTTTACTGTTGTGTTTCTGCAGCATATTTTTAATCCTGTTTAATCCTGCCTTGTATAAAAATGTATATACCAGGAGTGGGTAAGGCCGAGGCCGAAAAAAGCCACATCTAAGTTCTAAATGCTACAAAGAGCCACAAAAAAAGAACAAGAAAAACAAAAATTATTATTAGAAATGAGAAACATTCATTTTATTATTATGCTATTGTACGTAAGATAGATATAACAGAAAGGCAAAAGATCCCTTTGGCAAGATTTTCAAAATCTGGTTTTAGGTCAGTTAAATCCGTTCTTAACAATTCTGTTAAATGTTGGATAGTCAATAGGTACGTTCGTTTAAAATCTCCAGTAAAAAATGTCCAACAGCGAAATTCCGGCGAAATGTCATCTGTTATCTCACAAGGGAAAAATATCCAAAATTGTACGCGAACAGAAAATTTGCAGAAACTTGGAAATTAGACGTACAGCTGATAGAAATATTGTTTACATTCAAAAAAATTTAAAACGTAAGAAAACAAAGCTCGAAGTCTTATCCTGACACAGTTCACTGACTAAACGAATAATTACTTACTTCTTATTTTGTAGTTCAGGCCTTTAGTATCTATATATAATTGCAGCCACAGAATTGAGCTATATATCAAACTAAAGTGCAAGCTGCAGTTGCAGTTGACCGTGTTTGTCAAAAAAGTAAAAAGCGGCAGAAAAGTCGATCGTAAGTAATATATTATATTGAAAAATATTAACCATATTTCCGTGGAATTGAGATTCGGAAAAGTTATTACGTATTATTCATAGTTTTGAAATATATTTCACGAAAGCAAAGAATAAAAATAGCTGAGATCCCTTTCTTTTTTAAACACCTAGGATATCACTGACCATTAAAAAGGGCCCTGAATGGCCGCAACCCTCAAAACTTTACACATTTTTGTATGTGATTTTTAAAATGAGCGACCCAAAATTAGCCGGTATACATATTTAAAATTATTTAGAACCAGTGGTTGAATTTTTGTACTGAAAGGGTTAACCCTAAAAATAAAATCTACGTCTGCGAGGCGTATACGGAATGGGTCTTTTTTTAATTTTAACACAAAATTTACTTATTATTTTGTTGTTTTAAATAAATGTGGTTACAGTTTTTATTAATAAAACTACGTTTTATTATTAGTCAAACACACAACTTCAATATTCTTTAAAAAATAAGGCAGGACTAAGTATATTTTAGCTCACAGGTTATCTTTTAAGTGCATAAGCCTCTACGGCGTATGTTAAGACTTTACGTTACTCCCAAATAGATTAGGCTTCTAGGGTTAAGAAAGCTTTAGTGATATTAAATCGTATAAAGGCGCGAGCTCAAAAGTTGACCGCGAAAAAGGCGCATAAAAAANATTTCAGATTAAGATTACCAGATATGGTGAAAGGTTGGACTATACCTTAAAATGACCGTTTTCTCATGGCCCACGAAGCATAGAGTAGAGTAATGTCTTTTAAGAACTTAGAAATTATCCTGGGTTATCAGGTGTCTAGCAATACAAGATTAATTGTTGTCTTTCACGAAGTTCTTTAAATAAATTTTGAGCTTAGTACTCACCCGTATTTCGGGGGTTACTACTAGTTTTAATAAATTGTTACTTTAATTTCCTATAAAATTTACCTTTAGGTTTACGCATTTTAAGAATACATCGAAAATTTGTTTTAGAGAATCAATGTGAAATAATTGCAGAAACGATTAACCGTTTTGCTGAGCAACCGAGACGTCTGCTTTTTAAATAATTTTTGTAAAACAAATCGGCAGGTACATATCGTCCCCCGCATGCCAGAAACATGAATGTGTAAAGATGAAAATTTTGGGATTTTTTTATTATTAATATTATTATAATTTATTTATTATAAAAATTTAAAATAAATAAAGTAAAAGCACGAGCAACGTAGGCTATCGGCTATTATTACATTATTATGGGTAATTTATGACAATAGAAACGTATTTAGTAGGACCTATGGAATTTAAAATTGGATGTCTAGTTCCTTAAAAAAATTTAATATTATATTTACATGATTATCAGCAGGGTTGGACAGGAGGACGTAGGGTGAAACACTATTGAAAAACTTGTTATAGGTAGATGTTAGTCCGGGACAGTTGAGAAGGATATGTTGGATAGTGAGAGGAGAGCTGTTGCAGAAATGACAAGTGGGCTGCGATTCTCTATTGAGTATAAAGCTGTGTGTGGCGATGGTGTGCTCCAGGCGAAGTCTAGTGTATATTTTGTTTACCTTAGTGTTTGTACTGCATGGAAGTTTGAGGGGTGTTCTGTTGGGATAGACTTGCTTGTATCGGTGGTTGTATCTGGACCAGTCGGCTGTCATTTCACTTTTTACCTTCCAGAGGGCGGACTTGGTCAGAAATGATCTGTGACATGGCGCAAAGGTATGAACAGGGTGTTTGTGAGCCGATTTAGCTGCACGGTCAGCGCACTAGTTTCCTTCTATGTTTGTATGTCCAGGGACCCACATGATTTTAACTCTATTTTTCATGGCGATGAGCTCTTGCTTTATTTGTATTATCATTTCATTTTTGTTATTCAGGCTTTGCGAGGCAAGGAAAACTGACTTACTGTCGGTACAAATTATGTATTTTTTCTTGGATGCCCGACATATCTTAAGTGCGGATAGGATCGCTATAGCTTCAGCGTCGAAAATAGTTGATAGTTCAGCTACCGCTCCATGAGATAATGTATTACTCCTATCATCAACTACTGAAAATGATGTGCAAACATCGGTTTTGGATCCATCAGTAAACAGGAGGTGCCAGCCTTTATTTTTGAAGGTTTGTACGGTGTCAAGGTAATGTTGGACGTAGGCATTTGGAGTTGTGGTGTTTTCAGTCAATAGCCAAGGAGCGTGGCATTCGCGAATGTTAAGTTTACGACTGGTGTCAATTCCAACCTCTAATGCCATTAGATTTAGTCTGTAGATCGCTGAAGGCTTTTTCATTCTGGTGGTTCTGTTTCTGGTTGAAGTCACAAAGTCATGCAGAAGATTAGATGTGGGGCATGCAAGTTTGTGAATAAGCCTGCAGTTGACGATACGTATCCTGTCCTGAATGGACTCCAGTCCGCTCTCGGCCTGTAAGTTTATCGTAGGTGTTGTAGGAAACGCCTACGAGTCGAACGTATAGCCGTGTGGTATGGTGCTTGGATACATCGAATGTGACTTTTGGCACAGCTGCCGTAAATCGGTAGCCCATAGTCAATCTTTGCAAGGATTGTTTGTTTGGTGAAATTGAGGAGAACGTTGATGGATATTGGTTTTAGGAGAGGACAAGTATTTGACAAGGTTGAGTCGGAAGGATAAGTTTTTTCTTAAATATAAACAGTGCTGCTTAAAGGTATATCTATGGTCAAAAAACAGGCCCAGAATTTTAAGGTGTTCAACATTTATGATATTTACATTCTTATGACTAATTACTAGACTATTACAGCTTCTTTTCTTACAAATGTGAAGATGTTTAGTTTTGTCCAGTGAGATTACGGCTCCAGAGGAATTGCACCAGCTGTCGATTGAGTGGAGAGCATCTGATAGTTGTTGTTGTATTTCTTGTGAATCTTGGTGCTTTGCTACGATGTAAAGGTCATCGGCGTAAATGCAATGTTGCAACTTTTTGTTGTTGTAAATAATTCGGCAAAGGTCATCAAACGCTATAATAAATAAAGTAATGGAGAGGGGAGATCCTTGAGGGATTCCATTATACACGGGGTGTACTTTTGAAAACACGTGATTAACTTTGCTTCTAAATTGTCTATTAATGAAGATTGATTTCACATAGTTCAAAATTTTGGGACCAATTCCCGACTTGGAAAGTTTCTGTAGTACTACATGAATCCCGATTTTGTCAATTGCTTTGACAAAGTCTACTGAAAGGATAGAGATGTGGTTTTTGGCAACTAAATTTTTGCAAATCAGGTGATCTAAGAACAAGAGGGCGTCGGTTGTACCGGTTCCTGGTTGGAATGCAACTTGTGCAGGAGCTATAAGTTTCTGACATTTTATAATATTCGTTTGGATATCATTTTTTCCAAAAGTTTTCCTAGACATGGAAGGAGCGATATAGACCTATAGGAGTCTATGAGATCAGTCTGTTTATTGGGTTTCCTTAACGGGATTATAGTTGAGGTTTTGTAGCTTTGAGGGATAGTTCCCGTATCAAAGATCCTATTGTATAAATTTAGAATCCGGTGTTTAAAGGATGGTGGGACATTTTTAATCATATCATAAGATATTTTATCAAAACCGGGGGTTTTTCCATTGGAAGTTTTCAAGCATGAGTTAAATTCATTCATAGTTAAAGGAGGCTCTATTTTGTGAGCCGGGATAGAGCGGCAATTTTCAGGAAAAATACTAAGTCCGATTCTCTTATTGTTTCGAAATTCAGGTAAAAAGTTTGAGTCGTGAGAATTTGACGACCACGTCTCAGCGAATGCTTCTGAGACGACGCAGGGTTCGTTAAGACAGCTGTTCCCTATTCGTATGGTACTAATCGAGGTACAGGAAGGAGA